ATGCTGTCTTTAGATACTTGTGGTCCTTATCTTTTGGTGTCTTTAAGAGAGAATACTGGGGTGGTTTTTGTTTTTGATTTTAGGATAGTTTTGCAGAAAATTGAGAAAAGCTGGGAGCAGAAGAAACCCTCCCCCATCCCTAATCCATTGGTTCTTCCCAGAGAGGAAAACACTTTACAAAGAATTCTAAAACTACACTTTCTTAGAAGACACCAATCTAAGACTCACGAATTATCATGAATTATTCTCCATTTGAGACAAAAATGAAGGACACAAGAGACACATTCCATTATCAGCGTTTCAGTCTACTGGAAAGTTAGGCGTTGGTAACTGAGAAGCCACTGAACTGTCTTTTTCTCCCGTGCCCCCATCAAACAGCTGTGACTTGCTTTGGGTTTTCTTCTCTTTTGCTTTTTTAAAAATTTTAATGGTTTGTTTATTTTTATTTTCTGTGCATTGGTATTTTGCCTGTCTCTATGTCTGTGTGAGGGTGTTGGATCGCCTGAAACTGGAGTGGCAGACAGTTGTGAGCTGCCATGTGGGTGCTGGGAATCGAACCTAGGTCCTCTGCAAGAGCAGCTAGTGCTCTTAACTGCTGGGCCACCTCTCCAGCCCCGTCCTCCCCACCCCCTTGTTTAGGTTTTCTTTGGTGTTGTTGTGTTGTTGTTTGATCCTTTCAGGTTAAACCCTTGCATCAGTATCCTGACCCAGTGAAATAATATTTATATGCTCTAGGGTTCAAAATTCATTGGGGCTTCTACTCTTGAGCATGCCAGGGGTGTGTGTGTAGTTTCCAGAAGGGTTTAAGGTGGAGTTGGCAGGCAGCACGAAACTCACAACTGGATTGAGGGTTATCTGCTGGGGTTGGGCCGGAAGTGATCTGGAAGTTGGGGAAGTGAGGCTAGAGGTGCTGTTGTAGCAGGGGCCTCGGGTGCACCAGATAAAGCCTTGGGCAGGAGTTGGAGGGTGATGGACTGGGTAAGGGGGTGCCGGCAGGAAGTCGGAGACTGCAGGCAGCTGCTTGTCTTGGTTTTGAACGAGAGATTTCAAGAGGCTCAATGAAAAGGCTCTGTACTTTTCATTGAGACCCCTGACAACCAATTTGGAGCCACCAGGGCGCAGAGAGCCCCCACGTCTTGAGCTGTGGAATTGCAAGGATTGTCCCTGTGCTTTCTTCCAGTCCCTGTCCCTCTGCCCCGAGCCTCGGGTTAGTTAGTATCCTTCACAAAGTACAGGGCTGCATGGCTCAAGCGCGTGAACTTTACTTCTAGGCAACACCCTTTTAAAAACACGACTAGCGAGCAGCAGTAAACGTAATTAACATGGCACCTTTCTGGCCAATCCCCCCTTCCTGATCACAGAATGCATCACCGTTTTTTTAAGCGCGTAAGTTATGCATCCCACAGGAATATTCCATTCATGTTACACTGGGACTAAAGACACACAAGATGTACAGGTCTGGGGCTAGAAGAAAATATTTAGTGCTTGCCTACAGAGTCTATCACCCATCATCTGCTCTTAATGCGCTCCGTATCTTTCAGCGTGTCCAGCTCTTATGATTGTAAATGGCCCTGTTTTCAAATGGAAATAAGACTTGCAAACTGATTATGTGTATTGAATCAGAATCACTCACTAGATCCTCTTGTTTAAAATGTATTGGAAAAAGGATGACGGCGTCAGGCCTCTGTAACCAGCTCCCTCTTTTCTCAGGAAGACCTATCTGTTTTGCAACTTCTTGCCATTGGAACATGTTTCAGCCAGATAATTACGTTACCATTGTGTTATGGCCCAAAGCTCACACACCATACACACAGCGCCTCCCAGCCAGCTCCAGACCAGCCCCCGCCATCATTAACCCTTAAACCACATACACCCTACCCAGCATTTGACCCACTATACCTAGCACCTCTCAGGGTCACAACCAGGGAAAGAAGTCCGCACTTTCACCAGGCACGGGAGTGGGGGAGGGTGTGTGTGTGGGGGGGTTCTCACCTCTCCTCTGCTTCCCTTCTTCCCAGTCCCTTCACCTCTTTCCCTGCCTTGCCAGGAAGCTAAAACGAACACCAATAAGAGTCACACAACCGATAGGCTCCGAGTCATAAGCCATGGCAAGATTTAAAAAACAAAAACAAAAACAAACAACTAACTTGGTGAGTTCCTCCTGGAAAGTGAATGCTAAGGTGTTTGGATACCACCACACATCTCAGTGTTTTCTCTTTCTCCCCATCTAGTGTTGCATGACAGGCCACGAAGGGATGGGTTGCTTGTGAAGTATTTCCAGTAGATTTTCCCCCCCTTTAGTTTCAGGATGAAGCAGACAGACACGCCACGTTTGTCCAGGAAGACCCACGCTCTACTTGTTCTATCAAATGCCGATATGATACAATGTAGCACTTTCAAAATTGACACTCACCCTCGCCTCCACATTGCAGCCAGGGAGCGGCCACCAATGCTTGGTGGTAGTGCTAACTAGCCACAACTTCTGGCTGGCTGTCCAGAGATAGATGTGTGCTTGCTTTTGATTCTGGGGTCGCCATTCGTGGCATGAAATAAGCTGCCAGTCTTCAGTCCTCCCCCTTCCTATATTCCCCACACGGGCCTGCAGACCTCGAGGCACCAAGGAGTGGCCAGGTCTGGAGAAACAATTAATCCCACCCACCCCCCAAGTAGCCTGCCCCTGCAAGCCTGTTTGGCAATGTGGTTTTCTCAGAAACATCTATGGAACTCTAACTTCCTGGGCTAGGCAGGATAGTCAGTTCAGTAAATATCTCTGGGTCTTCTAAATTAGGGTGTAATAAGTAACCAGCTCAGAGGAACCTACCCTGGATCATTAAGGCAATTCTCAGGTTCATACCTCTGTGTACATGGTATGCAGTGTATATGCTAGGGAGATTAGGTAAACCAGTAGCATGCAGAACAAATAAACCTGTTTCTCTAGCACTTTGGAAACCTCAAGCAACATCCTTGGGAGGCAAAAACTGAAAAAGGAATGTGGTGTTTCTGGGTGATTTCCTACAGAATCATTTCAGAACACTGTAAATTGTAGGGAAAGGGCATGCCGGAAATGCTTCTTGTTAGGTGTGGGATAATCTCTTATGCTTTGGAAGTAAATTCCAACAGCCATCACCCGAAGTCCTGGAAACACAATATTTAACACTCAACCAACAGCCTCTGCTACTGATACTGAAGAGCTAACTATCAAAGACAAGATTTCTTAGCACATGGGAGGCAAGGGTAGGGCAGAGTTTGCCCACAGCATGCAGACAATATCTCTTATTTCCACTACTATGGAAAGACCAACAAAGAGAGGCCCTTTGATATAAATAAAAAGCAAAAATATTTTCTTTCCGTCCTGTTTTGATTTTGTTAGCTGGATGGTAGTATTCTTACCAACTCATCTTGCAGTAGACATTGCCAGTCCAGTAAGAGAATACGACTTTTATTGTAGATCGCCAAAAGATGTCTTGCACACAGATATGCCAGAGGCACCTTGATAACCAATGGTCATATCTCTCCAAGCAAAAGTAATGTTCTAGAGTTTCTCATGGCAAGAAATAAACACTCCAACTTAATATGAAAAAAAAAAAAGCTAAGGGCTTTTTAAAAATTTATCCTTAAGGGAAACAATTTTATTTGATTTCTTAATTGAGGTAATGGATACATTCAACTTTCTCCAATCTAATTAATATGTTCTGTAACATCCAGTTCTATAGTTGAAAAAAATTTTTAGAAAAATCTTTTGAAAAGATACATAAAATCAATACATGTGTGGAAGATATATGTATATATGTCTATGTATACATACATAAACATCTGTACACACATCTGTACTTACAGAGCAGGTAGAAACAGATATGGCTCCTTCTATTGGAGGAAAGAGCTCACTTACTAAGTCTTAGCACTGACAATATTTGTGTTTATATTTTTATTTATTGTTCAAACTTGACCCAGCAGTGATGAACTTTTACTGAAATGTCCTACCAACAACCAAAGAAATTATATAAGAAAAATATACTGAAATCTTATCTAAAATTCTTCAAGAAGTCTTAACAATGAAGGGAATAAATGTCTAGGATGCAGAAATAAAATGGGAACTTATCAAAAAGAGAGACAGAAGATCAGGAGTGCATCTAAATAACCTCCAAGTTGACAGTAGGTCACTGCGGAAAAGAAATACAGACACCACTTCAACTATGGTTTCCGAAGACGGTGTAAAAGCTGTACTGTCCCACTGAGCCAGCTCTTCCTCCATTCCTTTAAGACACCATCAAAGAAAGTTCAGAAATGCAAATATGTGGAGTGGGGGTGAGGAGGGTTCATGCAATCCTTGACCCACCCCCTTCAATAAAATACACGCTTTACCTCCACCCATACTAATTTCTTGAGACATAGAGGGTGGTTGGAAAGAGGCCACACCTTCCAAAAGCCACTCACTTGGAGAGGCACCAGAAAACTTTTTGTTGGGGTAGGTTTCCAAACTGGGTGCCGCCGAAGGTGAGCTGAAGCCCCAGGACCACAAGCCACACGGTGAAGCACACAGCAGCCAGTAAGGTAGAACTGGAGGAAGGTGGTTTCAGGCATCTCCACCGACTGAGCAAGAAACATCCCCATCCTCCCTAATGCCCTTAGGCCACTTTTTCGAAACAAGCTAGCAAACGGTGGAAGAATCAATCAAGTTACCTCAGATTCACATTTCCCAGTGGGCTTCCTGGTCCCCACTAACATAATCGTCTGTTCACCCAGCTTCACATTCATAACTGGGGAAGGATGGGGAGGAGGTGGGGAAGCTATGCCCAGAGAATCTGGAGACTTCGGATCAGGATTCAAGGCAGCGTCCCCCAACTTCCTTGTTTATAGAAATGAACGTCTTACTTAAGCTCAGAAAAGGGGTCAGCCTATATCAGCAAGGTTCACACAGATTGTGGATTTTTCCCCCTTCCCTTATCTTAAATTGACCTGCTTTTAAGATAAAGACATAATAGAGAGAGCATTGACCTTACCTGGTCCCTAATGAGTTGGAAGTCAGAAAACCTCTTTCTCATTTCCTCTTATCTGGAATCGCCTGAGAAGAGACTCACGCCTTGAGACAGCTCCGCAGCGCTCGCCGCCGCCCAGACTCCTGGCAGCGCGAAGGGTGTGCGGCCTCTTAAAGTCTGCGAATCTTCCTGGGCTTTCAAAATCAAAGACTACGAAACCACATCCAAGCATCGTCACTGGAACTCCCAGGTCCAGACTCAGAAGCATTTAAAATCTCTTGCAAGATTCCCAAGCAAGTCTTTCCCCAAAAAAGGCCAAGTTCTGAGCAGTGGCCCGAAGCGCTGTCTCCTCGAGGCCCCGATCGCCCGAAGACTTGGATGCCATCTCGATGCTCGCTAAATGAACTCGGACCCAGCTTACCTTTCTCTCGCCGGACCCAAGCTATTTCCACCTGGCTGCCCTCCTACCTCTAATGTACGCCCACAAGCTGGGACATTTCTTTCCTCCTGGCCTTGAGGACCCCAGCTGTGTTCTTAAGGGTGGCCACAGCATCCTGGGGGTCCCTTCATTGCCCGCTCAGGGCATCTCTGTCCTGTTGTTTTCGCCTCTCCTCTGAGCCCAGCCCAGTCCACCGCTCGCCAGCTGAGAGAACTGCTTTCCCTTCTCCTCGGCCCCACAGCTCGGGGTTCCCAGGCTGGGGCGGGGGTGGGGAGCCGCTTTGGGATGCTAAACATCAAACAAGCCAAGCCTGGGGTTTCAGGCCCCGACGCCACTAGAGCAGCTCTCCAGGGCTCTCGAGAAAGTCCTCGTGTTTACATGGCGGGGTTGGGGTGGGGTGGGGGAAGAGGAGCAAAGCTGAGGATGCTGTCTGCAAAATACCCCCACTGCCTGAACCATCGAGGCCTGGGGTCGGGTGAGGTACTTGTCAGGGGACAGTTTCTAAGGCATTTGTTCTGTAGGCTCACTGGGGAAGTTTTCCCTCTTCTAACATCTCCAGTGCCAGGGGCATCTCCGGAATACTTATTTCTTCTCCTGGGAGGCCAGAACCAACTTGAGCCTGAGTTATTGAAAGCCTAAAATAAGCGAGCGCCCCTTCCAGATGCTGACCGGGTAGCAGGTTGTGTGGGAGGAGGGTGTCCGCAAGCTGTGGGAAGCTCTCACCTCGAATCTGGCACCTAGTTTACTAAAGAGTCTGCGTCCCAAGATTGCTTCAGTAGCTGCCACAAGTACCCTAGGCAGGAGCTGGAGGAATCAGAGTGACTGAAGATAAGGCCAAAGCCCTGTTTGTTGGGTCTCATCCCCAGACCCCTCCGAATTCACCTATTTCAGGGACAAGTAAACAGACTTCGAACTAAGCCGGCTGGAGAAGAAATGTATTTGTTAGAAACTCCAACTAGCATAGGGAAAATAAGACAGAGTGCTACAGTACGCTCATGGCTCATGTTACTCCGCTAGAATGAAGGGAGGCAAGGCAGGGTGGTGTCTACCACCGGCTAGGCTCTGCCTGGGCCTGGACTGGCTAGTGGGGCTGGTTGAGTTAAACTCACCGCCCACTTAGGGTTTGAGCAGCAGCTGCCAACACCTGCCTCCCTAGACATCCACAGCCTGCAGTCCTTGTCCCAGAATCCCCGATGCCTATTCCAACAGAAATGATTCAACTTCCCTGGTTTTGTTTTTCCAAAATATGAGGTCTGCCGAGAGTACCACCCCATAATGTGGACTCTGAGCAGACTCAACCAACCATCCTTTCAGAATATCAGAGTACCTTCAAGATATGAGAAGCCACATCCCAAGAGCCAGGATTAGTTTTCTGAGGAAGAAAGCTACCCCTGGCCCCCATTCCCAAGGCACGGTACAGTAGAAATCCCCTGGACATCAGTGAAAACGACCGCTGGATCCAAGTTCATATTTTAGAAAACAAAACAAAAAACCAAGATCCTGGGAAGGGGGGGAGAGGGATGGAGTGGAGAACTGGAAAAAATTATTAGAGGATAGGACAGAGAGGAGAGGAAGGAAGGAGGGAAGACGGGAGTCGAGAAAGGAAAATAAATAGTTGAACATCTGAGTGAAAAATGAACACAAGATGTGCCCAAAGTCAATCAGTGACCACAACAAACCCTTGCATGCCCCGGACGCACCCAGGGCCGGTAGGGCTGTCAATCTGCAGCTCACAGACCGCCTTGTCTGCACAGGTTTGCCAGAGGTGACGCCTGAGAAGCAACAGTTCATCCAAGGAGCTGTAGTTTTTGTCTCTGTCCATAACCACTCTTTTGCCAGGACCACCCACCCCCATCACAACCTTAATGGTTTCCCCAGCTCACGTATCTGCTAGTGGAGAGGAGAAAATAATCAGAGATGGGGGGGCAGTTTAAGGTTATTTTGGTTTTGTTTTGGGGGGGTTAATAGAAAGTTGGGGATAGGAGAAGGATTCATTGCTGCAAAGATTTAGGAGCCTAGGTATTGAAAGTTTTGGGATAAAGAGAGAAAGAGCAGCTCCCAATGTCTTGCTAGAGGCGTCCCTAAGCTGGCCACCAAGTCCACACTGAGATAAGACAGAGTAGCCACTAGAAGCCAGGATGGGGAGTTCTAGGATGGGGCGGGGAGGGGGGATGATCCCTGCGCAGGGAGGGATCTTGTTTTAGAGTGCTGAAATAAAACTCAGAACCAACCACACTGAGTGTGAGGAGGCTAGGTGGGAATTAGGAATAGAGGTTTGAAATTCAAATGTACAGAAGCAATTCATTTACTAAAAATGATAGCACCTAGAGAGTTATTTCAAATGGCTGACTTGGTCCACCATTTTAAACATTGGGTCAGTAGTGTGAGACCAGCTGTTGAGACTCCTAAAAATAGAAGGTTGGCTCTTAAGGAAAAAATCCATTGTTTTTTTTTTTTGTCCCCTCCTTCCTCTACCTCCCCTTCTAGAGAAGTAGTTTACTTTTCATCCTTTCAAAAGGTCCCAAAACTGCTCAAGATTTTTATTCCACTAGAGTTCAAAGTTGAACAAAATCCCCTCTTTTTGTGGGATGGAAACTCTGGAACTGGCTTCCTTACCTGGTCAGAATCAAAATCCCCGAGCTCAAACCCAGGAATTTGGGTCCCATCAGGTTTAACGATGAGCCCCTGTCCCCCCTCCCCAATCCGTTAAAAGTCAAATCAAAAAAACAAACAAAAAGAAAGGGTTTTAATCAGAAAAGGCATCTTTTTAATTCGTATAATTTATTAGAAGCTTCTTAGGAACTATATTTAAGCCAAATATCTACATAAGTTACAACAGAAAAAGAGACGGAGGCTGCGAGTACCAAACTGTCAGATAATATGCACAGGTTTGTCAATGCCCTTTAAAAAAAGTCAGGGGCCGGGGACCGGGACTGGGTTTCTTTTTACAATATAATGTACAGATTACTAAAAACTAGGCATTTAGTCCAACTTTTGACAGCATTTTACAGCTACATGTTCACATCAAACCTAAAACAATTTCTGAGGGGCCAGCCTGGACGGAACCTATGGGGCCAGAGGGCGCCGGGGAGGGGGCACTTCCTTTGTGACCGGTACAAGTGGGTTATGGAGAAGAATCTTTCCCCTCTCCAGCTCCTGTCCTCCCTTCTGGGGGGAAAAAATATCCTGGTATTTACAAGCAAGTCCGCTTTGCTGGCAGAGTGCATCCAGAGGGAAGTTTTCCGTCTTTAGAGTTCAGGGCCGTGGTAGTACAGAGCAGGCTCCGAAACTGTGTCAGGACCAAGCTTGGGAACCGATTTGAACCACCAGAAAGACACCCCGTGTTTGTTCTGTGTCCCTCTCTGTTTAAAGAATCCATAAGGGGTTGTATTTGCTTGGTTGTTTCTATTTTTTTAAATGTTAAAAATAATCCACAAGTTTTAGGTAGAAAAGAGAAAAGGAAGAAGGGAGGGTGGAGGAAGAAAGAAAGAGTGAGAGAGGAGAAGGAGGAAGA